TCAGATATACAGACCTAGGGGTAAGAACTTAGGTTACAAGGGAAGCATTATAGAGTCTACAGGAAAACTACTAAAACAGCCCACTGAGTCCTCTCCACTTGTTTTAAGAGCTGTTTGAGCATGAGTTGGTGGCACCTCTAACATTTGGGGCAGAACTCGGAGCCTTCAGCAACTCCACCAGCACTTGTTTCTACCCAGCTATTGCTAAAGCTGTGTCCATGCCTCGGCTGGAAGCAGCAAGGGATCGACCATTTGGGCATCTGCTGCAAAACCTCCAGCTCAATGCTTGTCAGGCTCTCTGTAAACTAGTCGTTCTACTCGGTTGAAGAACTCAATCCTACAGCCCTTGGGTCACAACAGGAGCTGTGGAGGAGACAGAGGGGTGCTGATATTGCTATAATTTAAGTTCCCTGCTGGGAAAATTTCTGTAAGGGTGAGCTTCGTTCACTGGATTATTTTTTTTAAGACAGTTTGTAAGAATGCTGCCATGGTCAGTAGGAGCCTGATTTGAGTTTTTCTTTGGAATGCCTTTTTCAGGGAAAAGCACAGTTTCTTTAAAATAGAACCTTTTTTTTTTGTTTGTTTTTTTCCTAGAAAAGCCAAATTCTTGATTTCTGGTCACCTGTAAAATTAATAAACTACCTTGTTACCAACGTGAACTGTCTACACTACCTGAATGGGAATACCTCTTTACTTTGCTTCTCTTTAGCTGGTCTGAAAGGCTTCACTCGGAATTGGTTCAAAACACTGTGCTGGATTCCAGGTAGTCCTCGGCTACTCAGAGAGCTGTTGGCTGATGTAGCCATCCTCTCAAGGGCCTTGGCCTTCCCACATGGCATTACAGCTCTCTGGGGGACCATGCCGTACCATGGGACACCTCAGTGTCTGCTACGGGAACTGCCTTGCAGCCAGGGAGTCTGACCCAGAAGTGAGACCAGGGTTATCTGGCTGCCAAACTGCAGCGTCTGAGGCAGTGCAACATTGTGGGAATAAAAGCAGTTCAATGGTGTACTGACTCAGAACAAAATTTCTCGGGTCAGGTCACCAAACCAAAATGAACCAACTTTGGTTTCAGTAATGTAAAAATATTCCATTTCAAATGAACAAAATGCACTGGTGTTCACAAATAGGTTTCGTTTGGTTTTTGTTGGTTTTTTTTTTTTTTTTTTAAACTTCTGAACTTCCGTTCTACAGAGTCTCTAATTTCAGTTTTTCTCCTTAAATTGGGATGAGAGCGAATGTTGAAATACTGGAATTTCTTCCTTTCTGGGGAGGAGGCAGCTGATGAGTATGAGCAAGCAGTTTCAGGGTTAGGTCCGCTGACTTTGAAGACTTGTATGCTGGAGCACAGCAGGTGATGGTGGGGCAGATAGGTGATGGAGGGGAGAGGAACAGACTGGCAGAAGGAGGGAAGTAGGAGGCAGGAAGGAGAAGCAGCAATGCGGGCTAGAACAGAAGAGTAAGGAGGAGAGAGCAGAAGTTTCTGCTTGGCTCCCTGGGCCGTAGGAACTGCTACATTTTTGTGCTGTGTTATGCTGTTGGCCGTGCCTAGCTCAGCACCTTCTGTTTTGCTGAGTGACCGGCAGACGTATGAAGTGGTGCTGCACGGAGGGCTCATGTCAGAGGGAGCTTGAAGCACTTCATGGAGAGGGCAAGAGCTGGGCAAGGTGGAGCTGGCGGTTCACACCAGCGCACAACTAGGCAGAGCTGCGTGGTTTCACTTCTGCTCACTGAGCAGTTGGGTCCTTCCGTGCTAATCGAATGGGGGTGAAGGCAGGACCTAAAAGATGAGCATTTCTCAGTTCCCGTCCAGGCTCTGAGCAGGGTGCTGCAGCCCTTGCAAGTCAGAGAATCTCTCTGCCACTAAGCCTTTTTCTGCAAAGTAGAAAGAACAGGAATACTCTTTCCTGGTGTGATTAGAAGGAAGCGCTAGTGACTGTTCCTAATGCACTGCAGAGTGTTTATTATGCCAATGCTTTTATTATTTAACAAGTTTCTTAACTTTTTTTTTAAATATACCAAATTGATACACTCCATCCATCAGCAATGCCCTCCAGGAACGAGTAGCTAATTAGAGAGCAGGACTTGCAAAAAGACAAACCCGGGTTATGCACAGAACAGGTTTCTCCAGTATTTATTGCCTACGTTACTGGCCAAGCTTCCTTGTAAGTAATAGTCAAATAATCGGCCTGGGTCCTTTTGTGAATGGTTTGAGTCTGTGTGGTCCTTCTTTGTTAGAGCAGCTCATGGTTTCTGAAAGCTTCTGCACCCCCTGTTCTGAACAGCAGAGCCTGGTGGCACCAGCTGCTTCTGCCTGGAACAAACATTTGCATGTGACATTAAAAAAAAAAAAGCCAATTTCAAAATGTATTTGCTTTTCCTCATCCCCTCATTTTTCAGCCCTTCTTAAAACTCTGGGAATATTTAAAAGATTAATATATTTAGCTTTGCTACAAGCAACTTTTAAACAAGTAAAGCTTGAAGAGGAAAGAGAAATCTTTCCTTCAGAAATAAAACAGCAGCCAGTGTTTGGAAATATTTTAACAATAGACCATATGGGAGTCCCAAACTATTAAGCTTTATTATTCAGAAGGCGGAAAATGTGGTTTGATATTCAATTGATATACAGCATAAATGAGAGCCGCAAACTCGGCTCCCTTGAGCTGGGATTCAGATGTTCTCTTGAATATAATAACTAACGCTTTGGCCTAGTTCCACAGAATGCATCCAGCCTGCTGATCACAAGCCAAGAAACTGTAGGCTTTTTTTTTTTTTCCCTTTCCCTCTCTTCTCCAAAGTACTTTCCTCTCCTGCCAGCTTGAGCTTTTGGCCTGAATATAAATCTCCTGATATTAGATGCGTATAGAAAATGGGGAGGATGCTAATAGCGCCCAGCAGTAGAGCTCTGCGTGTGTGCATGTGTGTTTGTTTTTTTTTCTTCTGCTTTAATGATAAGGTTTTCCCACCGTGATGCGCTGTCGGGGGGTTACGTTGGTCATACTAGGTGGGAGCGTCTCTGTTCCTGTTTCACTGTTTGTTTTAGTGCTGTGGGAGCAGGTGAACATCTTTTGGGGTTACTGTGAAGTGGTGCCAGAGACCATGAGAGTGTGGAATTTGTTGTAGAGAGAGACTGGAAGTGGTTTCAGTTTCTTCTTTTTTTTTTTTTTTTTTTTTTTTTTTTTTTTCTCTTCCCTGCTGCCCCCCCGATTTGACTTGCATATGCCCTTTCTCCTTTCTATCATGTCTCTCTTAACTTTCTCCCCTATGGAGAAAAGAACCCATAAAAGTTGCTTATAAAATATTACATACATGGACTAAGATTGCCTATATGCAAAGGGAGACTGATAGTTACACAGATACTGGGATCAAGTAATGGCAGGCTGGATCACCTGCTATTTTTTGACACAGGATCCCTGATTCACTCCGTGTACGGGATGAACCAGCTTTGTCAGTGTGAATGTGGGAGGTGTGGTATGAATAAGGAGTTGCAGGGACACAAGAAATGGTCTTGCTGGTCTGGCAGTTGAATGTTGCCCTGAAATACTGAGTTCTGTGTCTGTCTTTGTCAGAGAGGTCCTCTGAGATGCCAGTGTCATCCCTGGAAATGGCTGAGCTATGTCCACTGAAACTGTCCTGTGCCCCTCACCAGAACCCAACTGCCTGGGCACATCTTGTCCTCAGGCATGGAAAATCATGCAGGCAGTGATGTTTAACAGTCAGGTTTACCAAATCAAGTCATACTCTAACAGCCTAAAAGCAACTTTAACAGTATGTTTTGATTCTCTTCCCTCCCTATAACATGTGCATCATGAGATGGCTTTGTATATATTTTAAATTGTAGGTGTTTAAGAATTTTTTTCTCAGATTTTTGTGCTGCAGGACTTGACAAGTATCTACAAGTAGCTCTCCCCCCAGTTTTGTGATGGACATCCTCAGCTATGTTGGGTCCTATCTTTTCTAGGCTCTTGAACTCTGAGATCTATCAAAGAACCTTCTCTATAGTCTGTGATTACCCCGAGTAGCCAGAAGACTCCAGCATGAAGCTATCTGGCATTTTTCTCTGTTAAGTTTGATGAGCGCAAGGAAAAGACTTTCGCTTTATGTTTA